TGATACATGGCCGAAATTTCCGACCCCGACTCCGGTTGGGCGGGAGTACTCATTTACAACCTACTCACATTTAGACGAAATGAAATATGTTTTGCTATGTTAATGCTATGACTTGTTTTTAATTATTACAAAATCCTTCTTTATCAAGGTATTGATATTTCAAATGATATGATCAACGTTGCCAGACAAAAATATCAACGCGCAAACGTAACGTATGAAGTTGCAGACGCTAACAACTTTGTTGAAAAATTTCCCAAGTGGGAAGGTAGATTTGACAATGTTTTTTCAGTTCACGCTTTACACTGGGTACAGGATAAAGCTAGTGCAATGCGTAACATCTGCCTAAAAATCGACGGAGAGTGTTTTCTCTTGTTCTATGGACCGACACATCAAATGGTAGGCCAAAAACCTGATGAACTTCCCTATTATTTGAAACATCACAGCAATTGGAAGAAACACCTCAAGGTTTGCAAAATGTTTTATTACAATTAAAAAATAAGCGTTAACCAACTTAACATAAGTTATTGTTTGTTAAAATTACAAATTCGTTTATTTACTTTATAGGGTTACGTTCACAGAATGTACAATCAGTTTCGACCTAGATGACACCCGGAAGTTGTTGAAATCTGTAGGTTTTGAAGTACTTAGTGGAACGTCACATACTCCATGTGAAAATATAGACATCTCCAGTGAAGACGAATTAAAAGGTACGGTAAAGCATTTTATTTGACAGTAACACGTGACATGCCTAAATACGGTCAATAGGCACATCATGACTACTGTATTATGGGCATACAACATATTAAATAAGATTTGACAGAGCTTAGTAAGGCATAGTTTGCTGTACGGTATTACTGTAATTTAATTAGTCTTAACTCATTTAAAATATAGGCCTATATTCAAGTTCAAGTTTTATTTCAAAATATCATTATTGTAGCTTTGCAGCTAAATTGCGAATGATACATTAGGAAAAAAAATAGACCTGGGTCTATACATTGCACAAAGATTACGAAACAACATTTATATATAAGTTCAAAATATAAGGGTAAAAAAGATACATAACAGTGAAAATATATTGCTTTAAAAATTTAACATATTAAACTATGATTTAGGTTTAGGATGAACTGATTAATCTGGGCTTAATGTTAATATTGAGGTTCGAGTATTATACCTTACAAGCAGTGGCGGCGTCAGCGGGGGACAGGGGGAGTTTTAACCTCCGTCGGACAGGACGGGAGCCCCCTGTCGGTGGACGAATGACTAGGTCATCAGATAAAAAATAAAACAAAAATAATTTTCCTATCCAAATAACGTTATTTTGTCTACCAATCCATAATTGTGGTCTAAAAGCACATTTTGGACCATACTAAGGCACAAAAACTCTACTCCGGGCTGTCGACAAATTTCCGGTGCTTGGAAATCTAACATTTTACATGATTATTTTTTAAAACCTCCAATATTTTAATGAGAGAAATATTGCGAATTTTCAAAGTAGGTAAAATTATTTTTTTTTTATTTTCCAGAATACCTGCGTACACTCCTTGGGCACCTAGGATATTTGCCACAGCAGTACCATACAGAGTTTATTCAAGATGCGAGCGACTGGTGTTATAAAAACTTTCCCATCAATTAATTAGGAAATATATACAATAAGGTGACAGTAATTGTCGTTCATGCTGTAAAAAAGCAAATTGCGTCAGACACATAAAAAAAATGAATGGAATTCAAATTATATAGTCAATTGAAAAAACACAAGGCCTTTCGCGGTTATGACGATTACATTGTAAGGAATGGGCCTGATGGAGGCTGGGCTTTTTTTCTTTCAAAGATATGAATCAATTTATATTCAATGAATGTCTACAATGTCAGTCGCTTGAAGCACACAATCAACAGATCCAAGTTCCACATACATTTTTATTTATAAATATTAACAGTGGACAATATTGACAGATGAATTCGCAATCCACCTAGTTAACAATGACATAATACTCTTTACTAAAAACATCTAACGTTATGATTAAAATATACAAATTGAAATATTTATATACATTTAAAAATGACATAATAATAAAAATAGTAATAAAATATCGGTCTTCTTTTCACATAATGGCTCTTGCTATTTTGTCCATATCATTAATTGTTGTCACGTCACAAAAAAAAAAAAATATTACGATGTAAGTTAAAATAAGACAAGGTATGGAATGTCAATGCTTAATATGTTATTCTAGGTCTAGGTAGAAATTACTTCATTGGTTAAAAAAGATATCTTTTATTTGCACATGTTAAAAGTATGTGTGTAATTTTCTGCATACACAAGTACTAAATACAGTGGTGTTGCATGAACCCCCATTGTCTAATTCCATATTATAATTTGCATATGCAAACTAAGCTAATGTGATTGAATTCAGAAAACAGCCGGGAAGAGGCACATGTCAGCATATGTTTTTACGCTAAAGTTTAGTGGGAGGTGGCTTAGTGGAAAATTCACATTTTCGGCCAACTTAAACTCATAAAAAAAAGCATCCCCAATTAACTACACCAGACATTTTATTCCCGGACGTTGACCTCCGAGGCTTATATACATACTGTAGGTGGCCCCTTAGCTTAACCACCACTGACTAAGGCATTGTGAAACCTTACTATTGTGTATAAGTATAACAACGGTGATCCTTGTTTAGCATGTGAATACATCAGCTGGATTTCACACTGATTAATATGATCATACATAAGCTGTAAATACCCGACCACTTTTTACCCACAATTTACTGAGGTAATAATTGAGATAAAAACGTAACATTTACACTTTCTCCTGTTAAAATTTCTGACATTTCGAACTAAATAATAAAAAAATATAGTAAACACTGCAATACCAATGATAATACCATCCAATACCAATAATAATATTATTATGGTAATTATAATAAAACTATAAGTATTATTGGCCTATAAAATAACATTATTATGATAGTAATAAAAATTAATATTTATAAAATTAATACAGTACTAATAATTAATACACACTGATAAAATTAATTGCATTAATATAACAGAAATTCAATATGTCAATAATAATTGATTAGATTAGATAATATCAATATTTGAGTACTTATGACTAATGTCCTATTCAATTCAATTATAATTAAAGAAAACGTATCAGTAATTATTGTAATCTCTTTCGTTCAATATTGACACGCGAAGTTGACAATATAATACGTGTAGCATGCAGGCGACATGAGGCCTGACCACAATTTTCTTGTTGCCCGCGAAAGTAATTGTAAAACTATTTGTGCGGTCTGCTTACCATTCCTCGCTCAAAAACGCACCATTGTTGTCGCTAATAACCTGTAAAAGTGTTCTGATATAAAAAGAGTAATAGGCCTACAATAATAATTCAATTTAAAACATTCTTGTTCGAATGTTCTAAAATTAAACACTTTGGTTCATTCTTGGTTTAAGACTTTCTTGTTTCCCTTTAAACTGAGTAATATGCTTGATATTGATTGTTTTTGTAGTTTTGTTTTTTAGAAGAGTATAGATTTAGAGGATAGTTTACCTAAAAAAAAAAACAACTTCATCACAATAATAGTTACAATATTCATAATTGTTTTAAAAATGAGGTTAAAAAACAATCAGCCCCGCTCTACTACAGTGGCATATCTAGGGGCTGTCTCTTATACACATCTGATACCGGTCAGTTCTAGTATGTGAACTCTTGTATTCTTTA